GTACAAAGCGGGGGCACTATTGAACCACTCCTACCCAAAAAACTCAAAAAAAAATTTTTCGCTAAAACGTTGCCTAAAGATGTAATTCGATGCGCTGATCACGAATATCACAGCCGTTTCGAGCGCTGGCATCATTTGGCGCCATATGCGCCAATTTGGCGCCCACCACTTTTTCACCAAAGTCGATGAAAACTTGCATATGGGGGTTAATCAACATCCTGATCACGAATCCAATATTTATTTTTGGCGCCAATGTGATATCCGTGATCAGTATGTTGATTAACCCCCATATGCAAGTTTTCATCGACTTTGGTGAAAAAAGTGGTGGGCGCCAAATTGGCGCATATGGCGCCAAATGATGCCAGCGCTCGAAACGGCTGTGATATTCGTGATCAGCGCATCGAATTACATCTTTAGGCAACGTTTTAGCGAAAAAATTTTTTTGAGTTTTTTGGGGTAGGAGTGGTTCAATAGTGCCCCCGCTTTGTACCACGAGTATTTCAGAAAACTACCTTTGCTACCAGTATGGAAACCACTTTTGCTGGAGAGAAAGGCATGGCGACTGATGCTAAATCAATGCCACGCGCGCCATCGAGGTAGGTTCAAACGGCACTGACCGATTCGATCTACCACACTTGCTGCAAAGTCGCCAAGTACTTGGTGGGTGTCGAAAAATTAGGTGAAAACAATGGAGCAGAAACTTCCATGCTCCCGGTTCCGCAGTAAATAGAGGCCGAGAACGTGAATCAAACGATGGCCAGGTGTTAACTCGTACGCAAGTCAAAAAATCAGGTAGAAATAGGAATGCAAAAACTTGAGCGCCTCCGGGAATCGAACCAGCATGATGTGACTTTGAAGCGAGAACCTTACCACTGAACCACCGCGACTCGATCTGCTGTAAGCAATTCCTCGATTATCCTTCGCAGCTCTACCACCGAGCCTCCACCCGACTACACCATTACAAACTTTACCTGCTCATAACTTCCTTGTGGAATGCACGTTGCAGTTTTGCTATCTATATTTGTTAATAGCCTTATAGACTCTATCAATCCACCTAGGTCTCCTTTTAAAGTTCCATGGTAAGCTTGGCGGCCTTCCCTGGTAAATAGCTTAGCCTTTACCAATTTTCTCGATATCACCTTGCTCACGTTCAAGGCAGGCCAACCGTTCTTTAAGTTGGTGAGTCACACTGCGTGCCTGACAGAGCTTTAGCGGAGCGTAGATTATCGTAGACTTGCCCTCCATTAGCGCCAGCGTCAACGAATGTCATATTCGTAACCAAGATGCTCCCCATGTGTTCTCGGTGTGTAGCGATTTGGGGATCTAGAGCGCCTGTGACGCAGGCGCCAGCAGCTTCGCGCTTAGCGTATGTGAAATTCATGTTCTGGAAGTCGAACTACCTGTGGAAGCGAGTTTTCAACCAAATTGGCCGCAAAGAGAAGTTAGCGACGAGAAGCTTCAATCAATCTGACGCTTGGAAATTCTATGCGATGCTGGACTAAGCATTCCT